TTTATTCAAGAATAAAATATAGCCCTTTTCCATGGAGCAAAGTATATCAAAAGCGCGGTATATTTCTTTGCGCAGTATATCAAAATTGTCCACGAAAAGAAAAGACAATGTCCTGAAGTGTGTTTTTTTACATAAAAAAGGAATTTCTTTTTGGCCAGTATTTTTCAAAAAATCTGTGTGTTAAGGGGTTAATATATGACAATATTCTTCAATAAGGTTTATATTGAAATTAATTTCCTTTTAGCTTTAGGTATACCTTTCTGAGTTGTAATAAATGACTACCTAACAAGTTATCAACTTTGCTAGCTCTAGCCCTATTGCTTGATGACGACACTAGCTCAGCGTAGGGACGCTAGTATGGGCAGAAACAACCATTATTTAAGAAAAAAAAATATCATGGAAGAACTCTGAACAACGTTTTAAGTTCAGATATAAACAAGAGTGCAGTAAAACGTATAAATTGTTGTTGGAAAAAATACTTCACGAGCTAAAAACTATATTTAGTCAGGTTTTTTCTCAAACTTGCTGGAAATGATCACGTTAGCTCGCTCTTCTCTATCAACTTTTTTTCATCAGTAATTTTATCGTAAAAATGTGTCCATGAGAAAATTTAACACAGTTTAGTGCATTCAATAAAATATATGCAAGTAAATCGCAATTTCAGTTTATCAACACGGATCAGTAATCACAGCAGTTGCAACGATTTTAAAATCTAATACTGATCTTGACCAAACTGCTATTTTGTTCTATCTGTTGCTAGATGCAGATAATCTCTAAAACACATTTGAGTCANTTTTTTCTTTACTCATTTATTAACATATTTTATTTTCTGAATTTAAACTGAAAGTGTTAACATGCTATAAATGATACTGTTTTTTAAACAAATTACTATTAAATTATTTTCTATATATTTTTAATTAATAAGAAATTAGAGATAAAGAAATATATACCTTCGTAGGGTTAGTGTAGACGCATAGCGATGGTGCTAGTGTGGGCATTTTCAAATAGATTTTTTTTCTTTATTTAAAAGTCGGCAACATTAGTTTTTTTCCTTCGTAAATCGCAAGGATATTAGATCGATATAAATTAATTAAAACTTTTCGACAACACTGACTCAGTAAGAATTAATGATTTTGTGCTAATCAAGTTTTTTGTTGTTTTTTAAATTAAAAAATAAATAAAACCATTGTTGTGCTTTATGTTGGTAAAGTGGAAGTTGTTTATGGATTTAGAGATTATGATGTTCGATTCTTAAGAAAAAAAGATGGACTTCTTCTTATCATGAATCTTTTCGTTTTCCAAAAAAATCAATATTTTAAGAGAAAAAATAGTTACAAAACTTCAATTTCCAGTCACTGGTGGAACAACCAGGACTGCATCTCCACACCCCTTTAAAGTTAACATTTAAACTTTTTGATGAAATAAAAAAAGAATCAAAATATTCATCAAATAAATTAATTTGAATAAAGGTTTTGAAATGTATTGATTAGCAATCAAAAGGTTTCCTAGTATGATGAAATGTTCTATAACAAATTAGTGTTTTAATTAACCCCTTAACTTGTGCGCTCGAGTTAATTCTTGATCGCTAAACAGGCCAAACTGTGCAAACTCGAGGTAATTCGAGTGGCGTTGCATTTTATGGTGCTATAATTTTTCACACTCGAATATAATCGAGAATTGAAAATAACATTGTGAAAGTTAAGAAAAAAAATCGTTTTACTGATATTTATTATTTACATAGAATTGTGAGCTTTAACACTTATTTAATCAAGAATAAACTATAGCCTTTCTCCGTAGAACAAATTAAATCAGTATATCAAAAGCGTAGAATATTTCTTTGTGCAGTATATCGTAATTGTCCACCAAAAGAAAAGACAATATTCTAAAGTGTGTTTTTTAACATAAATAAATGAAATTTTTTTAGCCAGTTTTTTTCAAAAAATCTGTGCGTTAGGGGATTAATATATGTCAATATTCTTCAATAATGTGTGAATGTGACCGGCCCTATAATTGGGCTTGTGGTTGCGTGACGTGGGCGACGCTGCTCCATCGCCGTGGCTTCGCCACAGGTGCCCTCTGGGTAACGAGAAGAGAGTAGCAGTTCTGGCACTCCTGGCCAATGGGACGATACATCCCAAGTGCCCGCCATTGAAAAAAAAATCTTCAATAAGGCTTAGATTGAAATTAATTTCATTTTAGCTTTAGGTATACCTTTCTGAGTTGTAATAAATGACAACCTAACAAGTTATCAACTCAGCTATCTCTAGCCCAATTGCTTGATGACGACACCAGCTCAGCGTAGGGACGCTAGTGTGAGCAGAAACAACCATTATTAAAAAAAAAATATTGTGGAAAAACTCTGAACAACGTTTTAAGTTTAGATATAAACTAGAGTGCAGCAAAGCGTATAAATTGTTGTTGAAAAAAATACTTCACGAGCTAAGAACTATATTTAATGAGGTTTTTCTCAAACTTACTGGAAATGTTCACGCTAGCTCGCTGTTCTCCATCAACTTTTTTTTATTAATAATATTATCGTAAATATGTGTTCATGATAAAATTTAACACAGTTTAGTGCGTTCAATAAAATATATGCAAGTAAATCATAATTTCAGTCTATCAACACGGATCAGTAATCACAGCAGTTGCAACTATTTTACAATCTAATACTGATCTTGACCAAACTGCTATTTTGTTCTATCTGTTGTTAGATGCAGATAATCTCATTTAGTCATTAATAGACACATTTGAGTCACAAAGTCACCCTATTTTACGGTAACTATTTTTAATCAGTCACATAAACTGCAAAACACTAATTTCTGTACCCTTTTAAAATATTGCGTCTTAATTTTAAGAAGAAAAAAAGTAATTTCTAAATGTTTAACAAATGATTCAGTTACCTAATCAACGTTTTCTTTTTTAAATATAAATGGGACATTTATTCGCTCTTTAAATATTATTTTCAGTGTGTAATGCAGTGGAAAATATAAACTGACGTAAATATGCATCATTATGCAATCCAAGGTTAATAGATGACATTTCAGAGTTAAAGTTTTGATTACTTACTAAGATGGATTTTATGCGTCATTCTATGCATGGTCTACTAAATTTACATGGATCGATAAGGCGTTCATTTGCCATGACTTTTCATTCATCACTGTTTCTTGAATTCATTAAGAATTTACTGTTTGAAACTAACTCATTGACTTTATATTATGTATTTTGGGTGTGGGGAAATTTCCTTCGTAAAACTCATTAACATTTGCTTATGTCTTGAACTTTTCAAAGTTAGGAAGTATAGTCTAATTTCATTCAATATTTAATCATAACACATGAAGCGCAATAAATCTTCTCCATCAACTGTTTACCCTTTAAAACATATTTATTTGAGTAGAAAAACGGATTAATTTTAATGAAAATAATTTTATAATATTATGACTTAAGTGTTAAAATTTTCAATAACATATTTTATTATATTTGTAAAGGTCATGAAATCTACTTGGAAATTAGTGAAAAAAAGATTTTAACTACTACGGCTAGGTTAGGTTAGTTACGATTAGGTAAGTACTAAGGTCAGAATTTATTTTATTTTTTTTGAGAAAAAAATTACATATTTGATAGCAATAAAACATTATAAAAACGTAAAACAATTTAAAACTACATAAAATACCAAAAAAATAAAGTTCCTTTAAGCTTATTATCTACGCATTTGATAATGCTATTTAAATGAATGATTCAAGACTATGTACTAGTCAAAATGAATAAATCAAAAGTTTAAAGAGTTTACAAATATAAATACTATTAATTTTGACTTGATTTATTGCAATTTTTACTTTCCTTTCTAGAGGATATCAGAACATGCAAGGTACATTCTTGATGAAATTTTTTAAACTAAATTGAATAAGATAAAATTTGAGTTAATGGAATTGGAAGTCAAAAATAATACATTTAATGCAAAAAAAAAATGAAAAAAAAGGAAAAAAGAAAAAGTCAATTTGGTTTTTAAAATATCAGTCTTTTGGATTCACGATTGGTTTAATTCGTTTAATGAGAAGTCTCGCATCTTTGAATTATTTGTTCTAGTAACTTGTGTAAAGTCTCATTCTATGATTGAGAGTAAAAAAATGCATAAGAAACAATTCTTCACTTATCTGTCTCTCTTGAAATTACCCGCATTTCTCTCTCTCTCCCCCCCCTCTCTCCACAAAATAGAAAAACGTACAGAGGAAAGAATTATTGTAAGTATTATTTATAATAACACAACAATGAGAATTTTTTTGTGAGAAAGAAACTTGAAAATTAAATTTTCTGAAGGAAAAGTCTTATTTTATTGGACTATTATACAGTTTGGTCAAATCCAAGAATTATCATATCACGAAAACTATCTATTCATTTGCATAGTGATCTTCTCTTATTTAAACGACTTAAATCATGTTCGCGGTTAATTGAATTATATTCCTTTTTTAAAAAAAATTTAAATGGGTTTTTGCTTAAATTTTTTGTACTGAAAAGAATTTTTTATAAGGTTCCAAGATGTGAAGTATTTACCAGAGGATGTAACAGATATGCTAGTTAAACCAACATTCACGAAATTGAATAATTCTAATTGAGTCAGTATAAAAAATTATAGAGGTAATATATTCAGTTAAATAAATGAACAAATATTCCATGCATCCTTTTACGTCATGACAGTAAAAAAGTATTTACCAATGAAAAACAGATATAACATGAGCGTACTACACGCACACACATGTACCATATGTATTATACACAAATTTCAATTATGTAGTTCGAAAAATATGAAAAATTTATGACAACAGACATGACATCAGTTTGTGGACTGTGTTTAAATGAGTTAATCCTCAAAATGCTAATATACTTATAAGGGTTACAATTGTTTTTATAGCATTTTAAGGAAACGATTTTGGGAATTTAACCTTGTATAAAATATTAAAGAGATTTTTGTACCTTAAAAGTATCTCTGAGCAAAACAGTACGATTTTGTGTTACATGAAGCATTACAAAAAGCAGATCAATAACAAAACATTATCTTTTGTTTTTTTTTGTTTTTATTTTTTTTAAATTTTTTTTTATAATTATTATTTAAGAAATCAGGTACAGCTTTTCGAAATGTTGAGAATTTAAGTTTCAAAAACAGAAAGTCCGTCCTTTCAACGACTCGCATCTCAGAATAGTCATGATTCGTTCACAATCTTTGAGAATTTTACGATATAGTCGGGTGAGTTTTCAGTTTCGAAAACATTGAGTCCGTCCTTTTTAAGGGCTCATATCACACAATATTCGTGAGTCATTCAAAAGATTTGAGATTTTATGACATAGTCGGGAGAGTTTCAAGTTTCGAAAACAGTGAGTTCATCCTTTTTAGGGGCTCATATCACACAATATTCTTGAGTCATTCAAAATATTTGGGCGTTTACGACATACTTGGGAGAGTTTTCAATTTCGAAATCAGTGAGTCCATCCTTTTTAAGGGATCATATCACACAATATTCGCGAGTCATTCAAAATATTTAGGTTTTATGACATAGTCGGGTGAGTTTTCAGTTTCGAAAACAGTGAGTTCATCCTTTTTAGGGGCTCATATCACACAATATTCGTGAGTCATTCGAAATATTTGGGTTCTTATGACATAGTCGGGTGAGTTTTCAGTTTCGAAAACAGTGAGTCCATCCTTTTTAGGGGCTCATATCACAATGTTAATGAGTTGTTCAAATTCATTAAGTTTTTGCGTAAATTTCTAGAGAAGTTTCAAAAACAATTCCACAATTTCAATGGCTCATATTTCACAATAGTCAATAGTCTCTCAAATGTTTTGAGTTTGAATGAACTAGTCAGGTAAGTTTTCAATTTCAATAAAAGAGTTCATCCATCAAGGGCTCATCAAATTATACGTCAAATCCTTCACATTTCTGTTGAAAATGTCAAGAAAGTATAAATGTTCAAAGTATGAACAATTTAATTCTGACAATTATTTGGATCATTTTTGATCTCAGAATTGCCAGCTTCATTAGGATCACTGGAGAATGCAGCATCAAGATTTTCTGGCTGTGGGAAAGTGAATAATAAAATAAATTTGTTGAACATCAATTCACAAATCGTATATTAAGAATGTAATGAAATGGCTTAAATGAAAAAAGTTCTGCAGCAAAAGATAAAAACAAAACAAAATGTAACAGCATATAACATTTTCATATTCTCTGATAGTAACAAAAATTTAAATTCCGTTAGTAGTAGATCTATGTTAATTTAAAAAAATAATAAAAAATCAGTTTAAAATTGAATTTTTAATTTAATTAATTCAACCTAAATAACAATTCAATATAGAATTTAATTTTTTCGATTTAAATTAAAATTTCAATAGAATTCAATCTTTAAATCGCAAAAAATATTTTTTTTCTTTTGTATCTTTTGAAAGGATATTGATTTTCTTCACCTTTTGGTCTGTTTAAAGTTTGGAAATGGACACTTTAGCATTCTTTAAAGACTTTATTACTAATAATAGAGCATTACATGCACACATCCTATATTTAATATTATTGTATCTTAAAATCATAAAAGTAATTTTACTTATTCCTATGAGTATAATATCTTGCTTCAAACATAAGTTTTATTGGTACAGTATAATAAACAAGATGGCGGTTATTATACACTAAGTAGAACAAAAGAACTTTCTATCTTTTTCACTACACCAGAAGCTAATGTTAGTTTTGGTGCCTGGGTAGAACACCCCACAGATTTAAACCTAGAGTAACTCGAGGAAAATCCTCTGATAAAAGTTACATGAAGGTTAACTCTAGGTTTTTACTCTACAACTATCTTCAACTGATGATTCCATAACTCAAAGTTTAGAATTGCAAGAAGCACAACAGAACTTCTGATTGCTGAAAATGAATTCCAAGGGATTTTTATATACAAAATGAAAACTTACGTAAAAAATAAACACTTACATAAAAAAAAATCCTAAATACTTATACGCTTCTCGTGAAAACGGAAATACCAGGTAATGCTTAAATGTAACAACAAGTAATTTGGTGTTGAAGAAGAAAAATCTAGGATTTTTTCCTTTTTGATAGATTTTTTGGAGAAAAATGATGAAAATTATATGTTATGTTGTACTAAAGTTTATCTTAAAGGGAATACCATTTTATGAATAAAATAAATTAAAAAGTGTGAATATTTCTTAGTACGATGCAATACAAATACTTTTAGAAAGTCATCTATTCATCACTTATTCGAAATTATATATATCAAGAAATACACGGTGAGATTTTAAACTTTTTTAGTACCGAAACTAAAAAGTTAAGGTACAGTTCCTGCTAGCTTAACGATAGTTGGTCACATGCATACATATAAATAGCTTAACAAAAATGCAGATACTATTTATTTGCATAATCAAAAATAGATTCTGGAAATAAAATTTATCACATTGAATGCTACGCTAATTTTACATGGCTTGCCCGTCTGACAAAACGGTAAATAACTACAAACTAACTATGCAAATTAGACAGATTTTGCTAGTTTTATTAAAAGGTTTAGCATGGCATATCAGAAAAAAGTGGTGAATCATATAATCCTACGAATTCTTTAGAAATAGTGATGGATGAAAACCTACTAAATTGAATTTATTAAACCAAGAATTACAATTAATGAACTACCACTTGAAAATATTTATTCTCTGTCCGGAGCAAGTTGGCATCTCTGTGTATATAAATAGAATTACTTTTGTGTGTTCTATAGTGTATTAATTTCTTCAAACCATTTTCGTAACGATAATAATGCAAAAAAATTAAAAACTTACTAGAATTGTGTGTTTTTATTAATCGGTCACCGGTGACACCCATGGCATTCAGCGTGTTAACTTACAAATAAAATAAGCATAAATGATGCGTGTAAGCAACATCAAATTACCTGAGCCAAATTGAGATCCAAATATTCTGAGCCGATTCTACCAACGAATGGTTTAATCACATCATAGTTGTCCAAGACAACATCTTTAAAATATGATTTGTGATTGAAGGGTTTTCCCTTCTTTTTCTCAACTACTCCATCTTCCTTCAAATAGCCATACTTTTTGACGCCAGATCTCTTGACGTTGACTCTAAGAGGAAAATGAAAATGAACTTTCACGGGCTTTTACCTTCTATTATACCAATCTATTATCTTTATTTGAATTATACATCATTGTAAATTTCATTTAGAGTGCCTTACTTTAGAATTAAGAGATGACCTATATTACGATACTGCTGCTAAATATAATGTTATAGACTTATATTAGCACCTAATATTATGTTCTTTTTCTTATCAAGTAATATATTGCTGAATTGGTGAGAGTTCGGAAATATAATCAGAAGTATATTGTAAATAATTTTACTCTATATTGTAAATAATTTTACTGTATAAGTTTCGATTCGAGCTAGTATTTATATATATATCAAAATTCGCAGTCGTTATGGTTTTAATTTACTACTCAGGATCATCTTACATTTGGTGATTTCAAAATAAGCCACAATATACGAAATTACACCAAGAACCAATCACCGCTAAACTAATGTTGCGGTTACACAAATGTCAGTGAAAGCAAAAACAGCAAAGAATATCATGGTAACCAAAAAAAGGGCATCAGCAAATTTGAACGAAAATTATCGCCAAATCAAGAGGCTCTAGATTCGAAAATTTTATTATCATTATTTAATCAAATAATCGCCAAACATATTTTACTATAAATAAAAATAATTTTAATACTTTACTTTTAGTAGAAAAAAAAAGATAACTGTATATCCTAATCACAGATTTTATATTGTAGAGCAAATATTCTTAACTTTAATAGGTACTAAGCACTCATAAGACTCCTAAAGTTGCAAAAGTAACAATATTTATGAAACTTTAATACAAACTAACATCCTAATAACTGATTAAGCATGTACGTAATAAGTTGACTTACATTTGCTTTCTTATCCACTTTTTTACACCAAAAGGCATTTTGAAATATATCAAAGCACTTAATCAAACCTCTTTTATAGCAGTTCAATCAAGAATGATATTTATTTTCGGAACATAATCATTCTAACAATGGATATTATTCATTAACATTGTTAGAACAGGTAAAAATCATCACCATTGTTAAACATTTCATCGCTATTTTTTTAAGTGCATCATTGTTGACATATTTTTATATTCAATTGTTGTGACTAGCTACTGAGAAAGCTATTAAGTGTATTTTTTGCCAAGTAAAATACAAAATGCCACAGTTTTAAGGGACTTACATTAAGAGCAAACTTATAATTTTAAACTAAATTTACCATTTTAACGTCTTTTCGTAAATAATTGTATACTCTTTAAAACAAACAGCTTGGATATTTTTTAAAAAAAAGGTTTTTTTCCCGCGGAAAACTGTTGAAAAAATATAAATTCTCCTAGTTCTTAAAATAAAATATTCAACAAATCTAAAGTTTTAAGAGTTTCGTTAGGAGTCTAGATAATGCAGCTTTCTGATAATATTTTAAATGCATAAGCACTATATAACAAACTCTTTTCATTTTTTTCAAAACTATAGATTTTGGTCATATTTAATTTTGTACCGTTTTTCAAATTAACAAAGATGACAGTGGCTACGTTAGGCAAAACTCATCTAAACCTTCAGAAACAAATGTTACAACTTCAAAACATCGATTAAAACAGCATATATATTTCTAAGAAGCATTCTTCATGCTAAACCAGAACTTCGAAAAACACCCTTAAGAAAAGACGAAATTGCACAATAAAATACGGAGAAAAAAATTCTGGTGAAATTTACTGTATGGTAATGAAATTTCTCATAAAAATAACAACATAATTCTGGTTAATAAAACCTAAATATACCATATTTAAACTATTCCTTTCGTAATTTTTCATTTGAATTCACAACGATTTAACGATAATTCTGATTTTCAAAATTTTAGTTCTTGTTACCACACATAAAATTAAAAATACAAAACTGAAAAGTAAATTTAAATAAAGAAATGGTTTTTATGCCATGCTTCAAGGTAACATAATAGAACTACCAAACTTTTCCACATTTATCAAATTTTATAACATATTATAAAACTATATTTTATTGTTAATTTTAATAAAAATCCTTACCTTAGCTTTTCGGCAATAATTACCGAGGTTTTTGGAGTTTTCAAAGGGCAAGAAACACGGTAAGTTTTACCATTTTCTGGTAGTTTTGGCCATACTTTGTTCCCATTGTATGATACTATTCCTTGTAAAACATCCTATTGCCTACATATAGTGGAGTTTTCCCCAAAAAGATCTCTATAGCAGTCTTTATATGGGGCTATATAGCTATAATCTTGTTTGTTATGCATAAATTTTGCTTGTTTATGAAGAAAATACACGTTCGTAAATAGACATGATCCCACTTCATTCAATATGATTTGGTTAAGTTAGGTTAGGAAACACAATGATTAGGTTTCCCAGTTTATGTTTATAAAAATGAAAGAAAAACTGGGATTTCTTATCTCAGTTGGCAAACAAATGTGTAGCTCATATGAAATATCTATAAAGCATATATATAAGAATTCCCTATCTATAAATATCTAAGCAAATGCTCTTTGTTTAATCATTTGTGATGGCTTTCATCATCTTCATATAGACAATAAAGTAATATAAAAACTTACAGTCACAAGGGGAAGTTTGTCATACTTGATTATCTACGACTAGGCTTCAAAGAAGTTGAGTTGTTGGGGAGAAGAAAAAATGATTGACTCTCTACATTATTGCTCAAGAGGAAATATTATCAACTTATGCTTCTGTTAGAATATGTCTTCTGATATTTTATTAAACTGCCCACAATTATTGTATATTTAATAAGTGATTTATTGGGAATAAATTTTGTCGCATAGTTGAATTGAATTTTATTCTTTAATATTAATAATGTGATGCTAGGTGACAACTATAATGTTATAACATTTTGTTAAAGATTAATCAATAGTGAAAATTATAATCATGTTCGTCAAAGATATTCATTGTTTCTGTCTCTTTCAGACATATTTTATTACCGGTGTTGAACAGCTAACCCAATTCTGAGTTTACAATTACCAATGTTCAACTCTGTAGGCTTGTAATTTTGAACCCAACCCAAAAGACAAGCGAACTCTTGCATCAAGCATTGGAGGCAAATTAATCTTAGTGGTGGGTTTTTGATGAGACTATCACGTTTTTGCTTTATATGGAGAGGAAAACCCCGAAATCTTCTTTGGATTATCTTGAAGATACAGGGATTCTAATCCATGACCCGTCTACAACTAAGGATATTTTACGTCAGTACTGTGGTCAGTGCAAGCAGGGAGCAGAAGTCGTATCAACTAGCTATTGCTGAGGTAAGAACATGGGTCACCTCATTGGAAGGCGAACGCTCTATTCTTTGAGCTACAACTGCTTTTGAAGACATGTTTTATACTTTTATAACCATCGTTGAACAGAAGATCCAATGTTTGAGTTTACAACTATCAATGTTCCACTCCGTGGCTTTTTAATTTCGAACCCAATCTGGAAGACAAAGGAACTTTTGGATTGAGCATTAGAGCAAAGCAGCTTTTGTGGAGGAATTTTAAAGAAACTAACCATAATTTTTGCTGCTTGGAGAGGAAAACCCCGAAATCCTCTTGCAGAAAGCTTGAGAGCAAGGGGGCTCTAACCCATGGTCCACTGCTGAGGATACTTTTTGTCAGCACAGTGCTCGGTGTGAGCTGGGTGCAGAATTCGTATCAACCAGCCATCGCTGGGATTCGAAACCTAGTCAATTAACTCAGAGGCGAGATCTGCATCCCCTGAGCCACCACTGCTTTAAAAGTTTTGGATTTCCATGTGAAATTACTAGTTCAAATGAATATTTTTATTAAATAGTAATCTAATTTATAACAACACTTTTCGTACAGCGTCAAAAAAGGGTTTGCTGCTCCAAACATCAGCTTTGAAAATAGTTCATAAAAGCACACTGAGTCAAAAGTACAGAAGTGCTAATCATAATGGTTAAAATTGTCGACTTCAAACAGACACTTTTATTAGCATATATATATATATATATATATAGTTANCTTTCCTTAAAGGTTAAAGGGAGTAAAATTCGAGTAATCGAGAATAATTAACATGAAATTGAAGATAAAAGGGTCGGGACCTCATAAAAAAATCGAGTTATAGTAATATTCGAGTTACCGTACTTCGAGTTATAGCGAATTGACTGTATATATATATATATATATATATCGCACCGCTGTAAGAACAGTGTTATTACTCTAAAATGCAGAATTTGAGAAAAATCAACTTAAAGAATACTAAAAAACTTATTCTGAAATAGCACTATCTTCTTATAAATTCCAATTAAGTATTTATGGTGGTAAATTCTTTTGTACTCGGTATGGTGTCACTCTTATGGTATGGTGGCACTCTTGTTGGGACATTTCATGAATATTTTTTATTGACATAACCTCAATATATTTATCTATATATATTAATTGGAAATCAATTCATATTTTATAGGCAATGTATGCAAGAGCGAGAATATGACTAATATAAATACATGGACAATAAGAAAACTCAACAATTTAAATACGAGAACAATGATCAAGAAAAGTACTAATTAAGAATAACAAAATTAAAGTGAACTACTGTAAAAGGTGTCAGACAAATGGAGATGTGTAAATCCTACAGAAAATTCATTATGCATACTTTTGTTATGTTTATTTTTCTGATACCTTTTTTTAAACTTTCTAAAGCTTAGCTGATATTGAAAAATAAATTTTTTTCTCAACTGAACCATGTTTTCTGCACTCATATAACTATATAGGTAATATTATTTTAATAAAAGTAAAATTCTATTATAACTTGCATTTCTTCATTGAGTAATAACTAAATTACGACATGAAAAAAAAATTAATACGACATTGATCAAATAATATATTTCAGCTTATTTCATAAAAAAAGAAGAATCTCTTAGGAAGGGTATAATAAAACGCTTAGAACTTAGAAATATGTTATATTCTGAAAAGAAAAAGCATTTTATCATGCATATTCTAAGAAATATGTTAGCTTATATTAGAGTCTTTTTGACTCGGAGCACCTGCTTATGGAAAAAATCACTATTATCGCTGCAGGATCTAAAAATATAAAGTGATCTGTCGACCTGCATTTCAACATGGAGCACTTTAAATTGAAAAGAGGATTACTTTTTTACTACCCAAAGCTACAATAGAAAAAGTCGTGCTGTTGGCTAAATTAAATTCAGTGAAATATCCTAAAATTTCTATTTGATGCAGTTCTGTTGAAACCGATATCGATTACCTTCTTTTTGTCAATTTACATATTGTTCTTAAAAAAGAAAATCTTAAGGGGAGTCACTAGGGCATATACCAGTAGTGATAAAAATTAAATTTTTTCAATGTTCCTTTTCTCAGCTTCTAAACAAGATATTGCTTCAGTATTTTTTACATACTATTTACATATACATGATTACACTGTTTAAACATATCCTTCGCAGAAATGTTTTTTTTTAAATTGTGAACTGAAAAGTTTTAATGTATTAAAAATTTCATAATTTTTGAGCCAAAATCTTCCATATCTCAAAAAGTATTCCTGTTGACGCTAAAACATTATCACAGCATACAACTGGCATCCTCAAACTGGTATGCCATCTCTATTCTCCAACTGGTATCTCATCTCTATTCCCCAAAAATTTCAAAGTGATATCATAAGTAGTTGCATAGAAAAAAATATATCGAAAAAGGATACTTTTAGCATTATTGTTTTATCCCCTACCAACTCCTCTTAAGAGAACAGACTTTATATAAGAGGTTTATGCTTGTCTGTTGCGAGTTTAGAAAGAAAAATATTGTAAAACGTAAGCTGTTTTATATATTCCTAATACTGTCATCTTTGAAAAATAAAAGTTTTACCGATTAGATACATGACCAAATTATGATTCTGCACCAAATATGGGCCATTGCTGCTAAAAAGGGATTACCTTACATTTCAGAGCAGTAGTAGTAGACGCATTGGTAGCCCGACGATCTGCGCAAGAAGTCATGCATTTTACGGTAGAGCAGTTTACTGAGGACTGATACCAATGTCTTTGGTCGCTTCGTGGACTCTTAAAGTGGTCACCGCATACTCACCGCAGCCAATGATACATGACTTAGGTCATTTGCTGGGAGCTGCGTCATGCAATCAGTTCACTGTGGAATTCACAATTCTGAATATAGATTGCAATGTTTACGCTTAAACTTTGTAAATGGGGGATAGAGTGATAAGAGTCTTCCTTTCTCGCATTTCAATGCTCTTTTAGAAGCAAGGTTTCCAAAATATAGTTGAAATATGAAACTTTTGTTCTAGATAAATAATTTTATGCAGAAAATTTTTCTTCATTCTTATGTTTGACATATTAGTTGACGGAAGTTAAAACTTAATCTAATTAATCTAATTTAACATTTCTCGCCAAAGGCAAAAAAAAGTATAAACTCAATTTTTGAGTGTTCAATAAATACTATAAGTTTTCTTTATGCAGGGATGAGAGTAGTCAGAAAGTAAAAAAGAGGAAATCCAAGAATATATATATATATATATATAAAATGCAGAACTGCACAAAAATTATTTAAAATTTGAAAAAGGAACAATTTTTTTTAAGGAATTAGGGTGAATAGCAAAAAATTTGCTTGCAAAATTTGGGAATAAATAAAAAATTTTAAACCAATTTCTTATGTGTATAAGTGTTGTCAAAAACAAACGAAATGAAAAATGAATAAATACTTAAATATAACTATAAAGGTGAAAAAATAAATAAAAATGAGACTACATGCAGGTAAATTTTTCAGTTTGACTCAACTTATTAAAGGGGCGACTAATCACTTAAAATTTTTTGCAGTATGTGAATGAGAGTATTTGATTTACCTGTACTTGAGGAATTTTCATTCCTCATATTCATAGATTCAGTATATATTCATAGATTCAGTACTATTACTATTATCATCTAAAAGAAGAAGAAAAAAGAAAAAATCCATGTTTATGGTGCAAGAAAATGCTTAACAATATAACCGTTGAGTTAAAAATTATGTTTCCTTAATTGACAATCATGGAACCTTTATCATATCCTACAAAATTAGAACTTCAGTGAATAAACGAGTATTTCACATAACTTAGAATGGTTTTATTTACTTTCAAAAATCCAATAGACAATTTCAAAGTTAAATTGTAAAGATTTATTTTATTATTTTTTTGTATTAAAAATTAGATGTAGAATAATATAATGATACATTAAAAGAAGCTTATTTATTAAATTTGGGGATTAAAGAAAGAAAATGCAAAAATAAATAATAATTTCTATAAAAATTCTGGAGTTTGCTTTGTTTTCATTCTAAGCTTAAGTGGGCCAAAGAATATTTAATATTAAAATTTTTGAATACTGAAAACCAATTAATTTGTTTCAAAAAATGNATAAAAAGGCTGAAATTCGAGAGACAAAAGCAAAAAAAATCTCATCCCTGTATAAAGGTCAACCAGTTTTATCCCAAGGAAATGATTTTTAGAGAAACTTCAGAGGGAGGAATGAGGACTTCAATAATTTCGCTCCGCGGAAAATTAAATTCCTCATAAAATATTTTAACTTGCGCAAAAAAAAATTTCGGCGGAATTTAGCGGGAAAAATGGAAAAATCTGAGAAAAAGCGGAAATCCGCGAATTCGCGGAAGAATCTCATCCCTGTTTATGTAAAAATCATTTAATACTGCTCTTCTTGCTAAACTTATTTTTCTAAGAATCTATAATATTGGGGGAATTAAAGTCTTCTATATTCTTAACTGAAATAAAAAGAAAGTATAAAATTCAATTTTTTCCAGTTCCTTGGAAAGCATTGTTTCTTTGAATCCATTTCATTTCTGATTATTGCCATTTATTTCCTTTTTTTTCTTCCTCTTCTCCTCTTAACCCCTTTTTTGCCTGCTCTGTTTTGACTAGTTCAACCGCTTTTCACTAGGTTAATTGTTGCACGATTACTTTGCGTTTGCGTTGTAACGTGATTATGCTCTCTCTATATATAGCTTTTTTTTCATTTTAGTTTTCTAAACATTAAATGAAACTTGTGCACAGCATCAAAACAACTATACGCAATTTGTCAAATTTTATTTGTGCTGAGCATGCAGCTTTCTACGATATTTAAATGTATCATCAACAAATCTTTTTTTTTTCAACTTCGACGAAAGTGCCATTTCATGATTAAAATTAAATTTATATTACATCATATTTTCTCAGGGAAAACTTTTTATGAAATAAATGAGCTGTAAAAAGATTAATTACTGTTCTTAAAAAAGAAAAACATGGGAGATTTTTTTTATTTAATCAAAATTATTTATGAAGTACTCTCGCGAAATAATATGCTTAGCTAATTGAAAAAAACGAGAATGTATAAACAGTTCATTAAAAAAGTTTTGAATATTTATGCTCCGATAAGAATCTGCTCAACTGATGACAAAAATAAAATAAAATACTGATCAATCTGTTGCTTATGTGAAATATATTTTAATAATGATTACTCAATGCCACTTTATTTAATGGATTTATTGGCGATGGAAAAAGCTGTTTATATAGAGGAAGACATTTTCCTGATTCAATTAAACTCAGTTTGTTTCGAAATAATTTGCAATCATTTGCATGTGATGATTGATTAGATGGGGAAACGTAGTTTGACTAACTACTTTTTAAGTTTGTGAGAAAAAAAATATTTAAAATTCTTAATGGCAGTTGATTTTAGTTAAAATGATCTATTGAATGGATTAAACTACGCCTCTATCAGAGTTACCAACTTGCTTCGGACAGTAAATATATATTTTAAAGTGGTAGTTTACCAATTGCGATTCTTGGTTTAATAAATTCAATTTAGTAGATTTTTATCCACCACAATTTCTAAATAATTCGTAGGCTTACATAATTCACCACTTTATCCTTCTTATATCAAGCTATACCTTTTAAAAGCTAAGCAAAAATATTAAAATATTTGAAAAATTTACTCTGTAGTTATTTACCGCTTTTTTAATTATTTTGGCGTGTCCGGAACACTTGGCATCTCTGCTTTGATTACGAAAAAAAGATTGAGCAATTAAAAAAAAAACTAAATGGCAATAAAACCTATAATCAAATAGTAATTGTATATAAATGATTCTATATAGGACGTCCCAAAACTCTTGGTACTTACGTTAGGGGGTGATATTGAAGTGTTGTTTTATCACTTTAATACAAGATAGACTTATTTAGAAGGTTAGCAAACATTTATTCACCATAGCTGTTCTATTTTTTATCCAGACTGTTGCCATCCAACATACAAGAAATGATTTATAATCATCTTGCTTTATAGATTCATTATCGATTAAGAATAACACTACAGACTATCCCCCCAGAGACAGAGAATTTTACTCTGTAACGACATAATATTTCACATAAAAATTTGAATATTACACTATTTACATCATTGATAAATAATATTTTATACTAAACAACCTTGCTTAGTTAATAATGTTAATAACAAACATAAGTTACCAGTTTTGCTGAAAAGTGTACATGTCTTCCAGACCTTGTCACAATCACGTTCGGGTCACCACTGAAGTGTTGTTTTATCACTTTAATACAAGATAGACTTATTCAGAAGGTTAGCAAATATTTATTCACCATAGCTGTTCTATTTTTCATCCAGACTGTTGCCATCCAACATAGAAGAAATTATTTATAATCATCTTGCTTAATCGATTCATTATCGATTAAGAATAATACTACAATATAAGACAGCATGACTTGCCCAAATCACCATACAATCCATGCTCCGAATGCAAGTCGTAACGCGCTGGAGGGCACAGACTCTAGTACTTTGACTGGACTTTTTCTTCTGGGGTCATATGAAGAACCTCATCTACGACGATGATTCCAGAGATTCAGCTGAAGATTTTGCTGCTCATATATCCACAGCTGCTATCACCGTAAGAGAGATTCCTGCTGTTTTCACCCAATGAACGGCGGTACTGCTTCTACAGTGTGAGGTTTGCATTAATGTTATCGATCTTAATTTTGAACAGTCGCTGTGATGGGGGTCTTAGTTTTATTTAATTTCCTTTTGTTGAATAAAATGTTTTTCTTACTTTCATCTTTTTTTTCATTCCATATATGTCTGTCTTATTTCCCATCATTTCGTAACTCATCGTGTTTGATGCTCTTGCGTTTAGCTTAGCATTTCGACTATGGATGTATGGTGACTTCTGCTTGTCTAGTTGCCTTTTATCATCCTTTAATTTAAGTAAAAAGAGTTTTGGGATATCATGTATGCGCTTAATTAAAATCTAAATTTTTTAAATTTTTATAAAAATAGGAATTTATTCAAGTGTTCGTATAATATTAACAGTAAAAAAAATTATTTTACTATTTTTAAATTGGTACCATGGATTCTATATCTGAAATGTTATTTTCGTTCTAACCACAGGTAGCGGCAGGTACCTAATTCCCATCATTTCGTATCACAGCGTGTTTCGTGTTCTTGATTTTAGCTTAGCGTTTCCACAATGGATCGTATGGTGATTTCCGCTTGTCTAGTTGTCTTCTATCATCCCTTAACTTATGTTCCAAGAGTTTTAGGACATCATGTATGTGCTTAATTGAAATCTAAATATTTTAAATTCTTATAAAAATTGGAATTTATTCGAGTGTTTGTATAATATTAACAGTAATTTTTTTTTACTTTCTTTAAAATGGAACTGTGCACTCTATATTTGAAATTTTATTTTCATTCTAACAACAGGTAACACATGCCATGCTTACTTTGCGTAAACACTGACTGAATTTGTGACGATATAAGGGATATTTTAAGAACCAATTTAGCAAATATTCACCATGAAACTCAAATTTTCAGCACACACATATTTTTACTTGTACCAATCTTTAAAATGAATTTATAAACTTCGCAATTCTGCAGTAAATGTTTTACGATATAAATAGTTAGGATGTCAAATCTTATAGAAGTTAAGTGTAATAAAACTTTTGGAATTGCAAAAGACACTTTAAAAACGATGAAAATTCTTATTAAACTATATACGAGTATTTAGGTAATGGATATCGTAAAAATCATTATTGTTTACATCATCAAATATCGAACTGGAAATGAGGCTAAAATTTAACGCTGCATGGAACAATGTTTAGAATTTAATTTCATAGAATTCGTATCACAAAACCTGCATTTTTAGTTGATAAATAGTTTGTACAGTTGCCAATTTTAACAATGGTCCTTTATACTTTGCGCTTAAACTGTTTATATTTCAGTAATGCGAATTATTTGAGAATAAATAAAATCAAGGATTTCTACAAATACATTTTATTTCGTACATTCCAACAACATTTTACATACATTCGGGTAACTACACCACTATCACCGAAGAAAAATTGATCTAACCCTCTGATCACCATAGAAGAAGGTGTAAAAGAACTACAAATAGCAAGTTTTATTATATATCTTCCTAAGAAACTACTTAATATTTCTGAACTTACATTAAGATTAGTAATACAAAACTCTAACAGTCATTGTGTTTGGTTCTCGGAAGCTTATGAAAATGAGGGCGAGCATCAGATTACTCTGAAACTGGCGTATCCTTAGATACCAAGAAAAAAATCTTTGTACCAGAAAGAGTTTTAATAGCATTGCTTGCCCGTAATGGTAAGTTATTGTATTGGGCAGGGGGTGGGGTAACTTGTTTTTGTAAATTTATTAATCGGAAACCTTTCCTAGAAACCAGTGGATTTATCTCTTCATATGCACTTTTCTCTTCTTCTGAATTTTGGGTTGAATTTCCATCGACGTAATTCACTTCACTCTTTTGAGGTTTAGATTGTCTAGAAATTTGCCTTCTAACTCGAACTGAAGCGATATTTCCATCTACTGGATAATTTATCTGTAATTAAAATGAAAAATAATTATTTCTTATGAATATATCCTTTGGACATTCATAGAATTCGAAACAAAAAGGATTCAATTTTTGTTTATAATACCTCCCAAAAGTCTATAAAATTATTTTGCTTGGTGACTGAAAATTTTAAAGATATTTATAACAGATTTTGAACTTTAATAAAGGGAAAGAAGATTAAATTTTTTTAATTCACATCCTAGTTGGTTCGGAGAAAAAAATAATATATTCCTTCGCCTCACATTTTTTGCACTGAATAGCTAAAAGTATTCAAAGTAGAGAACAATAGCGCGTTCTTTTGAATGAAGCAGACAAGATATATTTAAAATCAGATGAAGAAATTAAATTAATCCAAATTATTATAAAGAGTAATTAAATAATCCCACGAAACTTAAGCGACACTTGATTAGAAATTGTATTCGCTTCATAAACATATAACTAGGAAACTTCACAACATCGGAGAAACTTGACGCTCTTTAAAATTTAGAGGAACACGATAGATATTTCAGTTAACAAGAATACGAGAAATCATCAATTGCTGCACATTGTTGGAATCTTGGACATAAATTCAATTTCGACAATGTAACGCCAACTCATCTTGATGGAGTTTGGAGTCTTGTTTTATTTACATGAATGCTGTTAGAATGCCATAAGATGTGAAAATACATTTTACTCTGATTTGCCCCTCTCGGCCACTGAGGTTTTTCTTGTTCTGTTTTTATATTCTTTTTCTCGCTACTGAAATTTTTCTAGATTTGCTTCTCACCTTTATTTTCCAATTTTCTTTTATAGCTTCACGCTTATATTTCAAATAACTTTTGTTGACTCTCCATCGCGTCTGGAAAGTCTTGAAAATAGACGTCTGTTTTTGAGCTCTTGAGACACATCGACTGTTGCTTCCAATTTGTATATTTTTGAAGCTGATGAAGTTTTTAATCAAGTAACTTTATAAACAGCGTCTTAAAAATATTGGAACAAACTTTTTAGGGAGCAAGGGCTCCTTACAAATATTAAGAATTACATAGGAACCCATTGTAACCATAAATGATTACTAATTTGTGATCTGCTATCCATTATTGTAATGCTTTAGGGAGAAAGAGTACCCAACAGCACTGCTTGGATACCGATTGGTGATCTCATTTTTGCCTGATTCAACGACCCATTATTTAATTCCGTGGTGAGTTTTTAAAACTATACTGTATTTTGAGCCAGACTAGTATGTATTAGATTTCGTGGCAAGAGTAGTCTATACTTATGTCTAGGCGAAGGAACTCTTGGATGTGCGACCGTGCCTAGATGTAACATACTGGTAAAATAATTTGAATAAAATGGTAGCATAATTTGAAATAAATAATGTAACTTTCTTTAAAACATAGCTTGGAGACAGAAACCGATTGCAGATTTGACTTCGATACGAAATTTAAGTTCTATTTGAAAAATCTCATGCAACCGAAAAATCATTGTTCCTCAGTGGTATCTAAACACTAAGACGGCTTTTAATTGGAGGCCTATGTTTTATTATAAAGTATGGATCGAGTTATATGTTGTTAGTCAAATAATAATGACAAGGAAAACTTACACCGCAGTTTACTTCCATACATTGTGCCTGTGTAAAGGTAAACTTATTTGGTGCTGATTCCTAGAACATAAAGCATCAAATTCAATGTAAGTAATATCAAATTCTATGTAAATAATCTTATCAGAATTCACAATCATAAGTCATATATTACGGCAGTAGTTAGGTAGTTGTATTAGTTGTATAAAACAATACATTATGTTAATGTATTTCTTAATTTCATTCTTAGATATTTTTATGCTTTAGTTTACTATATGCAGCGCAAAAAAAAAATATCAGCCTGGATAGATTTCATTCAAATAATTAGATTTTCACTTTAAGATTTTTCAATATGTCAAACTTAATAAGTTTCAAAAGTAACCACAAATATGCTAATTAATTAATGCTAACTATTAATTAAGATACGAAATTAGTTACAAATATGCAATTCCTTAAAGAAAACACTTTTTTTTTTAAACTTTTGGATTTTTGACTCATATAATTTTAGAAAAAAGTAGAACATATATATATATATATATATATTCATGTCATCATTCATATCAGCATACTTCTTTTGATGAATTTATACGAAAAATTTGCGTTCATAATTTGAGTAGAACGTATGTTAGAAATATTAGCTGAACACACCTTATTACAGCTATAAGAGAATTTGTAATCCAAACAAATTTTTTTTTATCTATCCTATTTTAATAGAAAGAAAACCTGAAGTTAAGAAAAAAAAACAGATAAAGATTCTAAAAAAGCGCATCCTTGAAATCCTTTAACGATTTTCTATTTTTAGTGTTTGCTGCTTAAAAAAATTAGATTCATCAAGACATTTTTTGATGACAAATTATACCGCATTAATATCCTGCAAATTGTAGTAAAATTGGAAATACGTTTTAACAACTTTTAAGTAAAGGTTTTCAACGTGATCCTTCTTTGAAAGAGCAACTTTCTTATTCTTAGTTGCGGAATAAGTTTAAACGTAAAAATAATAGTGAAGTTCAAATATTTCACAGGGTTCGATCCTGAGGAACGGAACTTGAAGCTCATTCAACTTCAGATCAATGGGAGTCACCTTGTGTGGGAAGTAAAGGTGGTCGGTGCCAAATGCGGACCACGTACATTAAAATAATTTATTTCACGGAGGGTGTCCAATTACTTAAAAAAATGCATGTGTATACTTCTTTTGTGTTCCTTTATGGACAATGTCCAATTTTCTACGATGGACTTTTACGTAGCAATTTTTATTTTATGGGCAATGCTGCTTATTTTACAGGCTGACCATATATTTGCTAAAACGTAAAACTGCAGGAGATCAGTTTTTTTTTTAAGTTTTAAATATTATTTTCTTCAAACTCAGTCTGAAATCTCATAAATTTTAAATGGATTCTTTACTCTGCACAGATGAGTCAGATAGTAACGGATGAATTATAACAGATGCACTTATTAAGAATAATTATGAGATCGAAAACATATTTATTACATGTGCATGTTTTAAATAAGAGAATCAGACATTTTAAAACAGATGCTCGCTTTTTCAGTTTATTCCATGAAACGTAAAAATGCCCCAATTTCTCGCTTGATGTTTTGTTTAGCTGAAATTCAATAAACAGCCGCAACCATTTTATGTTGTTTTGTTTTTCTTTAGATGCTTCGATAAAAAAATACATCCGTGCTATGCTGACAAAATACGTTGTATTTTCATTTAACTAGTTCTTATTTTGTACAGTTCAAACATTATATGGTAATAAATATAATATTAGATTAATAATAAGAATATGCAACAATAATGGTATGCAATAATGATGATGTGTAATAATAAAGCTATAGTATAATAATATTACTCTTATAACGTTAATCAATATAAAATATATTTTGTACAACAATGTCAAAATAAATAAAATCATCTCACGGTCCAACGCAATTTTCTACAATGTGTGTATCAATAAAAGACTAACATAACCCCGGAAAGAGAACTGGATTTGTCTCTTCTCGTTGCCAAAAGCAACGACTAAACTGAGTTAGAAAACTAAACTTTAAGTTACTCATAAAGTTGAAGTAGTATTTTAGACAGCAATAACCCAATGAATGAATTTCAAGAATCAGGTCACGAGTTGATGGAATAATTCAATTTTATTCACTTTTCTTCAGTATTTGGATAAATATTTCAAACTTAAGCTTGTCTTAGAATTGTAATACTTTCCCGTTTTTCAAAAAATAGCCAAATTTTATTGAGATATGAGCAATTAAAAGGAAAAAAAAAATAATGTTACACATTCTTTATCACTTTCAAAATTGATTTTGAAATTTATATATTGGAGTTTTGAGTTTAAAAAGTAAATAACATAAAGAAAAGTTATTGCGTTTATGAATTCAAAATAGGAAAATTTCTTCAAATTCAACGTGAGAAGTATAAAAGAAAAAAATAAATAAATAAATTTAAAAAAAATAGCTGCCACCGATTAGCACTTGAACTATCTTTTTAAATAAGTACAATTTCATGCATTTTAAGTTTAAAATCTTACAGTCAAAAATCACGACAATATGTAAGCATAATAAACTCCCATTATTGAAGTGAAAATAAATTCAATTTTTGTCTCTTTGCATGGTATCGTGGTGAAAAGTAGGGAGATCAAACCTCTCTGTATCCATGCATGTATATTTGTGCTGCTTTTTCCTTATATGTTCTACCTATTACTCAGTGTGCTTCGTTTTGGGTATATAAGCTTTTATATTGCATAAACAATTCAAATAAAAAATTAGAAACCAAAAACCGGCATAAAAAAGTTTTTTTGTGTATCATTGAATTTTCATCTTCATTTCAATATTTGAATTTTTAATTTCATTTTCTTATTTAGTTTTTTTCCATTAGGGGGCCTCGGGCACAGTCAGGTTTTAGTTTAGCCACTGACTACAGAAAGGCTCCTGTGTGTTAGCAGGCAGTGTGTCCTCTAATGAAGTGCTATTTTTAGTAATGAAGTGCTATCTTTGGTACATATCTTTAGAATTTCGTTTTTGCTTGCTTTTGGTTTCTAGCTTTCTATTTAAATTTTTTATCTAAGAAAAATTTGGTTTTTGCTGCTTTTAGCCTGCTTCCATTTAGACTTACTATATTAAAGTTCGTTTCTTAAAGTTTTCTTGATATTTGCTTAAATCAATTTCACACTTTAATTAGGCTTTTATATTGCATTTAACAAATAAGTAAGTATAAATATGTCAATAAATTAAATACATATTATGCTGAATTTAAATTTCTGATACCTTCGACCTTTCTTTAGCTATTTTTGAAAGTACGACAGTAATGTTTTGATCAAAAGAGCGAAGTGGTCAAAGGTGTTCTTGAAAAAAAAACACTCTTATACGATCGAATCTAAAAGTATGTTTATTCATTCACTTATTGTTGAAAATTATTCAGAATGTAAGCAATTTTATGTCATAACTTTTTCCTTAAATATCCTGTTTAATACGCTATCAACTGTGTAAGCGAGAAGAAAAAACTTAATACAATTGCTGGGCACAGAATGTTATTCGGGAATTTAGTGGTATTTGCAATTGCTAATGAGAATTAGCAACTACCAACTGTCTTATTTTGAACTTTTAATAATACTAAATCATACCTTGAAACAGAAAAAAAGTCTTAAACTAACAAAGGACACGGGATGAAATCCCTTTAATTTTAAAATTCTTTTCTAAAAATTTGTGCAGACTAACTCATTTTGCATTAGATAAAGATTAAATTAACATTTAAATGCTTAACATTAAAAAAAGAATTAAAATAATATCTAATAATATTGATCAAAAATAAGTGAGTTAAGTATACTTACAGAACCTTCGCAGGCTTTCAACTATAAATAAAGAAAGAAAACAAATTAAATAAATAATCAACTGACAAACATTTTCCCAACATAGGAAAGAAGGGAACACCTCGAAAAAATTAATACATTTAACAAGTTTATATTCAGTTTAAATTGCTTATACATTTGGAATTTAAATATAAATTTCCTTTATAATTTTTATATGCAATAGCATCCAACAAAAATAAAACAGATAAGTTTTAGTGACTTGGACATAGAGAAGTAAAAGCAAACATTTTATCTTTTTTGTTGTAAAGAACCGAGCCAAATATAAAATTCTTTAATCAAAAATTTTCAGCCAATTAGCATAACATAGCGTGAACTATATTTATCTGTGTAATTTATATTAATAATAAAATAAGAAAAGTCAAATTTCAATTCTCCATTTCGCCATTGGAGACCAAATAATGGTGCTCATGATTCAGTTTGGCTATAAAACGTTGAGTTTCTACCATAGTTTTCCTTCAGTTGTGACTTTTCAGTTGATAAAAATTAAAAATGAAGAGCAATAGTCTAAGACATTAAAAAGGAGCTTAATTAAATGTGCAAATATGAGCATCATAGAAGACTATGTCATACGATGTGCTCATATGTGGGCTTTTTGTACGACTTTGGGTTGGTAACCAAAATAAACTTTTACATTTTGGATACAGGCGATAAGGATTCATTCCATACACTTAAACCCAATTTTATTTAATAAACAATCGGTCGTTGAGTTGGCAAAGAGGATAAAATCAAAATTTTATGTTCGTTGCATAAACATTGATTTAGGTTCTGGAGAAGTTTCAGGAAAGTTCATCAAGATTCCCGAATATGAAACAGATTACGTAATATTTTAATGATATTCTACCAGCCATAATAGCTTCCTTTGAAAAAGGCTTCATCTGTTGCATTATAGACTGAAGACAGTTTGCAGAGATTCTTTAAAGGCAGAGAAACTTCATAATTTGCTTACTATTTCTGAAAATTGATTCTTCCCCTAACAGAGCTTGATGCTAAGCTTAAATTTGACATATAGTATTTTTAGTGTCTAGAAGCAGTGGCGTAAGGACACGATGCATTGGCTTACAAATAAGAAATGTTAATAGCATTGGAACATTTCCAATGTCTTAAATATCTGATTTTTTTTAATGTCAATGTTGTGTGGATAGCATTAGAATCAGTGAAAAAAATGAAATGTTTCATACTTTATAACCTTCGCTAAACAGCCGACCAATTGCTTGAGTTTACGACTGCTAATGTTCAACTCCGTAGCCTTGTAGTTTTGAACCCAATTGTGGAGGCAAGAGAACTCTTGGATCAAGTATTGAGGGAAATTTGCTTTCGTGCAAGATTTTTTTTTCTCTTTATGGAACTATTCCGCATTTGCTTTACATGGAGACGAAATCTGCGAAAAACTCTCACGGTTAGCCTAACGACAAGTGGATTCTAGCACATGATTCGTCTACCACTGAGGATATCAGGACAGTAATCGGTGTGAGCTAGGTGCGGAATTCATGGTTGGGATTTGAACTCAGTGAACCTCATTGGGAGGCGAGCACTCTATCCTTTGAGACATATTGGCATTTTTAAGTAATAAACGTGTTTTCGTTTTCTACACTCTTTTGGCAAGGGGTAAAAATTCTGGTAAAATTCTAGACCGCACTGTACAGTAATAAAATTTATGTAAAAAATTAGCTTAATTCGGATTAATAAAACCGATTCATAACGGTATTTAAACTATTCATTTGTTAATTTTTCGTAAATATGGTAATGGTTTATGGGGTTTTCCAAACTATTATTCTCATTTCCTCTTATATAGCAAGAAATACAAAATTAAAAAAAGAAAAAAATTAACCAAATGAAGGACTTTTATGACATGCTCAAATAACATGATAAAGTTACCGAATTTTACCACATATTTATAAATACACACTTTATTATTAATTCTACCAAAATTGTTACTTAATGTTTCGGTAAAAATTACCGAACTTTTGGTGTTCCAATAAATCCAAAAATACTCTAAATTTTACCATATTCTAGTAGTTTGGATCATATATATATATATATATGCCTATTTTATACTTACAATAGATTCATAAGCTGCATTTGGACACCGGAAACATTTTGGCTGGAAAATATATGAGATTCATTATTATTTTTATAACAACACTTCATGTCGAGTAATTGCTCTAAAGAATATTTTGAATTACCTGGTATTCCAATGGATTTCTAGAGAAGATGCATACATTTGTGTAACTGCCAGTTTGATTATTGATATCAAAATCTGTATAGGGAAGTAGCCAATCAAACTGAAATAAAAGGTTGCTTTAAGCGGTACAAAGTTCAAAAATTTTCATTGTTTTATTAGTAGCTTTTTTAATTCTACTTTCGATTTGTACGAGTTTCAAGAATACAAGAATATTATTATGAAATTTTATTTTTATATCATTTCATACTGACCAACGAGATCCTCAATTTGGAAAAGAAAGAAAAAATCAAACACTCGAGGTTCAAGTTTATATACGTTCCCTAAAATTTAATTCAATCAGGTTTGTGACATAGAGTATCCAAACAGAAATGCAAAAGTTAATCTTCATTTTGAAGTGCAATATTATTCAACAATTTCAAGTTTCTTGTCTCATATTATATTTTGATTGCGCCAACATTCAAATAAAATAAGTAGTTATTTATGCAGAGAGCTACGAATTTTACACTTTGGTGTTCACCCCTATTGTCGTATAAACTTAAGCAACATCCAATACGGAGATCTTTTAAAATCATAGTGAAGTAATTTTGTAAGAGAAATTGCTTTTATTTTTGGCTTTAAACAAGCTATTCAAACTCATTTGAACATTCTACCTCGATTCCGCTACATGTTCAATCTCTCTCCTGTTTGGTCAGCAATAGTAAATTAGACAATATAAATCTTTAGAATTTTTTCTTGAACTTTTAAATATCAGAGGTAAATGCCATAAAACAAACTACCACCCATGTTTAAAATAAAGTTAATAAATGTCACATTTGTTGCAAATTACTAAATTTTACGTAATGCGAAATGTAAATCAACCGTCAAAAGTGGAAAAGCAATTTAAAAAAATCTGTTTTTTTTTCTCGTTTTTTTATTCATATTTCTAGCAATTTTACAGTGAGTGAAAAGAAAATGAGATAAATAAAAAACGAGCTCCCTAAAATGATCTAATTTGCTCGTACTAAGTCTCAATCTTAGAGCTTTGAAGGCCCCTCTTTAAATATGGTAATTAATTAGTACAGATTATGTATTTTAGTACAGACCATATATTAAGTTACGGAATCCAGTACAAAAACGTCGTTCTATGTTTAAATAAACATACTCTTTCTTTTCGATGGATTCATATTTCTGACCCTTAAATAATGGGAGTTAGTAAGAATCTAGAAAATATCATTGAAATAGTACAAACAAAGTAGTGGTCGGAAGTTTAGATCCCTCAAGGTTAATGTAAGTTTTTGAGTGTTTCGTCATTACTCTAAAAATAAGGAATTAATTAAGAAAAAGATAAACGACTACTTAACGTGATTATTCAACGACAATTCTATGCAATATGTAATTATTTATAATTTTTTTCAAATTTTTTTTTTCAATTTCCCAAATAATAATGATCCAAAAAAGTTGAATTTCATCCTTATAAATTTTTACACGATTTTAATCTACGTAGTTTTGCAGATAAAATCAAAGTTTCAAGGTAATTGATAAATAAGTTCTTCAGAAAAAAATAAAAATAAGACTTCTGTAAAATTATGAATTGAATTGAATTGAATGTATGGCTTAGTGGCACAAAGTTCAAAAAAGGACAAGCTGCTCCATACAATACGGTAAAACAGTTCAATAGACAAAGCACAGGCACCACTTTATTTGTCATACCATTATAACTGATAAAATTGTATAAGTTTGTATCTGTAAAATTATGAAATATTCCGGAAGTGAAACTAACATTAAGGGACCAAACTTTTAACCACTCACTTGTCTAAACTGAATGATTATATTTTCCTGATTTCAGTTATCCCTCATGCTTAATCTATTTTGATGGAAGGTATAATCATTCAGAGAAAGTACATTTTTGTCTCTTTTCATTACTTAGAATATCATCTGCGCTTATTAATTAGCATATTTATGTTGAGGTTTTCAAATCATTAAGATTGAATTCTTGAAGGTGAAAATCGAATAATTAGGGAATTAACTCAGAGTGTTTAATTTTTTTGCACTGTGTTAAACAATTAAAAAATAGTAACCTAATTAAATTTAGATATTATCGCTAGAACGCAGACAGCACTAACACAATCCTTTTTATGTCTGGAGAAGGAAGCCATTAAGATGGGATTAAGAATCAATGAAAATAAAACTAAATATATGCCCTGCACAAAAGCTGGCTATGAAGAAACACAGTTTGAAATTGGAGCATACAAATTCGAAGCCGTTGATAGCTTTACCTATTTGGGGTCTAAGATTAGCAACAAAAATGACACTACACAAGAAATACACACGAGAATCACGATGGCCAATAAGTATTTTTATGGCCTAAGAAAATATCTTAAGTCAAGCCTAATAAAAAGAAAAACAAAAGTGTTACTCTATAAATGTCTTATACGATCAGTGCTTACATACGCATGTGAGACCTGGACAATGACCCGTGGAGATGAAAATATGATAGCTAGTTTTGAGAGAAAAATACTGCGAAGCATTTTTGGTGGAATAAGTAAAAACGGTACCTGGTTTAGAAGATCAAACACGGAACTTTACAAAGCATATAAAGAACCTGATGTCATTAAATTTATCAAAATTCAAAGGATTAAATGGGCAGGCCACATTATAAGAATGGAGGATAGCAGGACAACCAAAAAAGTTTTCTGTGCCAGGCCAACAGGTACAAGAAAAAGAGGACGACCAAACCTAAGATTTTTAGACTGCCTTGAAAAGGACCTACAAGTTTTAAAGATAATAAACTGGAGAATCTTGGCTAAGGGAAGAATGTCTTGGCATAGGCTTGTTGAGAAGGCCAAGGCCCATCCTGGGCTGTCGTGCCAATGAGAAGAAGAAGAAGAATTAAATTTTCAAAAAAAGCCTTTTCTATGTAAAAATAAAATTTTCAATACTTGTTCGGACCACCTATAAATGAACAAGAGAAAAATAATTGCACTGAGAATTTATTAATTGGTTAGATTAACTTTCGTGTGTAAATGCTCTTAATTGCTATAATACTTCGAATTAAAAGATAAGAAACTTACAAAATTATTGTCAGGCACGTCAACAAAAGAGTCCTATAGCTATATAGCATTGATATCTATTGCTACGGATATTATCAATCCCGGAGTAAAAGGCCTTTAAACTTATAAAGGAAAATATTTGATATGTCTGGCAATTTCTCCTATTTGGTGTGAATTTACAGCTAGATAATAACTCATATATTAGGACAAAAAATATTTTTTCAGTAAATGTATCAATATTTTAAATTGTTTATGTCTAATAGGGGTTAAAAAACAGCTTATTCATATTCATAAATAAGCCAATATAAAAATTAAACATTTCTGATTGATTCTTATGTGAAATTGCCTTGCAAATGAATAAAAACCCTTAGCCGTGAATATACGTCAATAATAGCGTGTAAAGAATCGTAAATAATAAGAGTTTTCAAAATTTTATTCATTTGCTTTTTTTTCTTTTTTAAACGAAAAACCTTGTAAGTATGTAAAAATGCGATTACCAATGCACGTGTTTCACGCTTTCTTGATGAACCGGGCGCCAATATAAACCTTGAAGACAGAGTGTTTGTAGCCTACGGAAGGAAACTCTTTAAGTTGGAAGATAATTTATTTAAAGAAAATCAAAGAAAAATTTAAATTTTTTAGGCATATCTTACATGGATTATACGCAAAAACAAATATCAGTGCATGACTTTAAATTTTTATCCAACATGTGACGCATAACATAAAATTATTGTGTCAGTCAACCTTTAATATATGTAATAAATCCTGAAGTATTTTAGTACCAAATATGCAAATACCAAATACATAAAAAAATATTTAGTACCAAATGCATAAAAAAATATTTATATTCATTATAAAACCTGCGTAAACCTGTGAAACCTTATTGTCCCTCTGAGGGGGAATTACCCCGTTTAATTCACTTAAAATTAACTGGATTGTTATTTCAAAGTTATTTAACTTGGTATTAGAATTTATTAAAATATTCAACGTGCTTTGAAAATATCTGTCAATATTTTCTGTAAATATCTAGTTATAGAAAATATGAAATACATTAATGAAAGTTTACCACCATAAGAGGCATGGAAGTGTTCCGTGATGTATTCTACAGTACCACTAATAAGGTATCGTGAAAGTTTTTCTTTCTTTTTTTTCTTAATATGTACAAGAAAAGATTTCTACATACACAAGCGAGGAAATAATACAGTTAATTGGGTACCTACAATTCGAGAAAAAGACCGCTAAAATAAGCTGTGTGGCTAAGGAAGATGGCATGAAGATGCTGGATAAAGAGGATATATATATATATCTTGTAATAAATCGATGCTAGTAAATTATTCTATGTCTAATACGTGTACTATTAAAGAAAGACCTATTAAAAGTCTGAAACTCGTTTAAAACTTATTCATGGAGTTTGAAACTTATTCATTTTTAAGTAAAAGTTTATATTCTATGAAAATTCATTTATTTGTATCAAATACGCCTAAAAACTTATTAACACAACTATAATAACACATTTTCACTATAATAATGTATAATATGTAAGAGATATATCAGAAACGTAAGTAAATATAATATATTTTAATATATAATGTATTATAAACGTAAAGAAAAGTAAGAGTATTTACATACCTTATCACCATTGTTGCCTAGTGTAAGAAAAGAAGACAACGACGAAGTACCCATTAACATCCTTAACAAAGCGGCTAACTGAGCCTAAAGGAAAATGGAAACTATAGGTAAAAGGAATAGACACTGTAAGATTGCGAGTATTTACTTTATGCTTATTTATTAATTATTTTTTAAAGAGGACATGAGAAAAAAAATCTTGAATGTTTAAGGATTTGTATTAGTATTTAATTCAATAATGATTTTGGTTTAGTTTAAAGTTTTAAAAAAAATGTCTTCGCTCCTCTAATTTCAATAAATGCTAAAGCTTTGAATACTTTTTACAATGAACACTTTCACTGGTATTCTTTTTAAATTTTAAAACAACTTATCGCAAAAACTTTTAAGGTCAAGCTTTGAAACTTGAAATTGATCAGATTGTAACTCTAAAAAAACATATTTTAAGAATTTAACTTTAATTCGGCATCAAGAAATTGAAAATTTCGCTTTTAATTCCTGAGAAGTAAGTTTTTAACAAACAAGAAACAAATTCTGATTGCCTTCAATTTTTTAAATTGTAGATATATGAAACTTGTTGAAATGAATTAAATAAAAATAAGATATTAGAATATAAATAAGACATTAGACGTAGAAAATAAAATATAAATAAAAATATATTAATATTAAGGCATATATTTTTAGATGCATGAAAAATGAAAACATCACTCTTAAATATTTAAAATTTCTTTATCTCATAAAAATGTCCCATAGAAGATTTTTAAACAAATTCTGCATATTTATGGAGCAACAATAAAAAGTGTTACAGCATTAAAAAGTTCAAAGGAATTTGTACATTTTTAAAAACAGTTTTTAAATATATACTGAATTCCTTTACATCATCATGATTTAAATGCATATGATTAAATATGCATTTGATTTAAATACAATTGCAAAAAAATTAATAACAAATGAAAGTACTTGAATAGTTTCATGTTTCACCACTGTTTTCTTTTAATATTTAAGGTTTTATGAAATTCTTTTTTCACATTCTTTTGCAATTGTTAAATGTTGTACATGGGCAGTTCTTTTTCAGATTTAGCATTTCTGTCTTCTCTTCATTTTGCTGCAAGGGATAAACCCGCTATTGCTTCTCATTTATCGCAGTTGTTTCTTCGATAAATCGATATTTTTTTAAAACAAAAATTACTATGTTAATGAATTCGATAAATATTATACATTTATGTACGAACATTGTTCTAAGAATATTGTATAATCATTGTTGTTATGTAAATCGTTAATTTTATTACAATGCTGAATGTTAATTGTAATAAAATTAACGACTGCTTGGATTTGAAACATAACTAACTAAACTTAAAAATTAAGAAATACAGAATGTACAATAAGAAGAAATTAATAAGAAATAATTTTACTCGTCAACGCTACATAACAGTACCCTTATATTATTATAACGATTCAAATTGAAAATAGTTGTGCATTAGGCTTTTATATTTCCAATATTTAAAACAATGTAAAAACTTACATCTGGCATAATTGTATCACTTTTTTTTACACTAATTTAAGCTCGATCGTATAAAAATCTCGAGAGAGAGATAAATATATTTTCCAAAGACAATGGATGAATAATCATTATTTAAAACAAAATATTAAGATACAGTTATGTCTATAAGCAAAAATGACTCTTTCTGTACTCTAAATTTTAACTTAGCAGTTGTATATGTGCTGAAAATGCAATGCACACTGCAATGCGTCCAGCAGGATATTTTTGAAATTCAAGTTAGACACTAAATTTAAATATTATATTTGAGTTTATATTTATCTTATGGTGATTTATGCACAATTTTCTGATCATATTCACAAATTTAAATTTCAATGCTTTATAATATTTGATCTGAAAAACAAAATTCAATGCAAAATTTAGCACTCAAAACCGCTTATCATTTTCACATGCAGAATTTTTTTTTCAAATACTATTTTAACAAAAACTATAGAATGAAATTTGTTTTTATTATTATTTTGTTTATGTATTTATTTATTCCGTATAATCAAAGAGTCATAACCACTGCTTGCCACCGTTCGCCAGACTATGAAGCACAGAACGCAGTTCATTTCAGATCACATTGTTTAAGGTGTTTTTTTCACTTAGTCTTGTTTACTACCGCATTTATACTTTAATGTCTTTTATGTTACTTAAAAATTTTTTAATTAATTTAAAAAAATATTTTTTGAATTATTACTTAACTAACTATTATTATTACTTAATTGCTGACTGTCACTCACCAGCACTCGAACCTTATTTTGATATTTTAGTTCTTACTATTTTCCGAGCTCATAGGGCCCAGTGGTTAAGACTCTGAACTGTCTTCGTGAAGAACTGGTGTTTAGTTTTCAGCAGTGTCCTGAACCCCACCTGGATTTAGATCAATGGGTTCACTTTAGGCCCATGTCCAAGAACTCGTGGTTTTGATCCACGCCTGCCGATGACTTCCCGTATGGTGACTGATGCACGTTAAATCTGCTGAGTCACAAAGTTCTCCATGTCCCCATAACAAATCAATACATCTGGGTGTACTGATCCAGGAGTTTTCGTGTCTTCTAGATTGGTTCAAAATTACAAGGCTACGGAGTTGAACATTAGTAGTCGTAAACCCGAAATTGGGTCGGCTGTTCAACGACGGATATAAAATAAAATAAAATGGATTCGCTTTGTTTTGAAAGTAATGGTGTCTTGTGCGCTGTGCTGACCACATAGCCATAATCATGTTGTTGCTCACGCAATTGTGGAGACTTAGCCTCTATGAAGGATCGAAGAGGTTGGTTCTTTTGTTTACCTCGGAGCTATTGTTAATAAACAGGGCGGAAGTAACGATGATATTTACAAGAGAATCAGAAAAGCTAGATCCGGTTTTAGAGGTCTGTACAATTTTTGGAGAGCCTCAAATATGAAATTAAAAATAAATATCAATAAGGCTATAGATATATAAGGCTATAAACAAAAATAAATATCTATAAGGCTACCGCGCATTCCATTCTTCTGTATAGTGCCGAATGCTGGAATCCCCGGAAATTAGAAAGAGAAACATTTGAAACTTTTTAAAATAGATGCTTAAAAATAATACTAAAAATATTCTGGTCCAATAGTATAAAGATCTTTTAACAAAAGCTAATATACCATCTGTTAATGAAGAAATTTTCAAACGAAGATGGAGATGGCTTGGTCACATACTAAAAACAGATATAAGCAATCCTAAAAACTGCTGCAAGCTTATGGGCGCCTGACGGGAAAAAAAAGCGGGGTGAGTGTGTGGAGTAAAAGAATCGAGGCCTTATGTGACAGCTCGGCGCGAATAGGATAAGTAAGTACGTAATCTCTGTGAAATCTCAGGCCAACTACGGAGTTTTGTGAGAAGATTTTACTCCCTATTACTTGTCCAAGCCGATACGGAGTGGAATTCCTATAGAGGGGTAAAAACTCTAGGTGTTGGACAGAATTTTATTCTTACATTCCCTCTATTGTTATAATTAGATAGGCAATTTCTCCCTATTTAACATATTATTGCTATCAATTCTGCAGTTAAATTGTACAGTAATTGAAAGGAGTAGGAAACACTAAATATCTAAAAAACAACCAAAACTTTGAAATTTCAAAACTCAGAAACAAGGAATAAAATTGAACCCTCTTCAGCCACATAAGTACGAGTATTTAAAATTTTAAAGTTTTACTGCTTTTATTTTTCTGTGTATCAAAAAATCTGCGAAACTTCATTAAAAACATTTACATAGTAAACACTTAATAATTTGTAAATAAACTAATTTTAATATTTTACATATTGATTCATCTTACTGATATCTAAGCATGAGAGTATAAAACTACAAAAAATCGTGATTCTGTCCCTACTGTTCTAGGCAAAACTGAATTACGTAGCCTATAAAATAACTCGAAAACTTATGTCCGTAATAATATGATTTTGATACACGAATTTTTGTTTCTGCAATTTTTTTAAGAAGTATAAAAGACTTATTGTTCTATCGATTAATATTTAAGGTATAAGCAAGATAATGGAGAAAAGAGAAAAATTTTCTAAAATTGTGGCGGAAACGAAGGTATCCAGTACAAAGGCTGAAACAATCGAAAATATTTCAGCACTTGTGTTATACACATAAATGTTAGCACATATATATGTTAGAATTCTTAAGAGATCACGGAGGAGTTAATGAGTTATAATGAAACAATTATGCAATACTGTTTAACAATGAAAGAAAAGTGCATACCTTTGGTATGATTGTAGCTCCAGATAAAATTATACAGCTCAAAAACAAAAATATTTTCATCTCGTTTGCTCTGAAATGAAAGAGACAAAAGATTAATTACAGCTCTTTTTAAAACAGCAAAAATTCTTTCAAATCGAGTGATGTTTTAAACATTTTAGTGATAATAAAATTGCTGGAAAGCATTTGATCATGCATAATTTATTGAAAAAAACATTTAGTGCCAAAATGAGAGATTATTTATAAATTTTTTGCTTACCTGCTAATTTTTATGTTATATCGCCATTTTTTCTTGTTCATTTCAATATTGAATCATTGAAATGAACAAGAAAATTGTTTTATCATTGTTATTATTCCTTTATTATTGAATTATTGTTTGTTTTCTCTGAAATTATTAGAATTCGAGAAAGGGAATTATTGTAAACATTCCAAAATATTTTACTCCACTTTATAAATAATTTCCCACAAATTTGATTGAATGAAAACAACTTGAGTTTATTTTAAGTAAGAGTTCATAAGTAACCATAAGCTTTAGAATATTTAAAAGTTCTTAAAATTACTGATATTCTCAATCAGATAGTTTATTCTTAGAGAATATGAAGAAAAAAAACTAATGATTAATATAAATTCAAATCCATTCTTTTACATTTACATTTTAAAATAAATTCATCTCATCCGTAAAAATAATGATTGTCTCATTAGTGCAGTTTGGCTATTATAGTAACATTTAATAAGGAGAAATAGAGACTATAGTTAAAATAGCTGTCATATTGACTATCCTATATATGTTGAATTCAAAGAAAAGTATTTCCTTTTTAAAAATAAAATTACAGAAACTTTAATTATTTTATGATATATAATTAGGAAAATAAAATTAATAACTAGAAAAAAAATTCTTTCTATATTTATTTTATTTTATGTACCATATGAGATATATTTGTATCAACGGTAAAAGTAAAAAAGAATTAAAAATAATTAATAAAAGTAATTTAATAAGATTGAAATGAATCCGTGTTTTTTGTTTTTTTTGTTTCCTTCTTTGCAACTGGATATCTCATACACCGTTGAAATTTCCATTCCAAATTTGCGGTAAAATGAACAGCAGCAATTTCTCAATGCAGTTAACCTTAAAGTTTACGGGTTGGAACATTGCTTATAACCGTTTACAGCTGGCACGGCTAACAAGATGTGAGTATAAAACTGTACGATTCCTTAACAATTTACCGTGAGTATAAAACTACACGGTTTTCTAACAATTTTCAACTAGCAAGGTTTCTAAACCGTTAAAATAAATTTTAACGGTTCCTTAGAGTTAGGTTATGTTAGGCTTTTTGTTCGGAAATGGAAATTAGATTTAGCTTGTAGCTTAGTTGTGTATTGTCAAATGAAATGGAATGTGTTTAATTTAATCATTACAGGGAATGTGGCTTAGTTAGTTTATTTAGAGGTACCATCTATCTTGAAAAATGGGAAGTACTAGAATTTTTTCTTAAGCTGCTCTGTAATTTTACCATTAATGCTTGAAAGACAGTTTTGTATTCTAATAGTCCAGGTTCACCGATTAAGGGTTGCAAGGCTGTGGAAACTCTTCATGTGTTGAAGAAGTTGAGATTTAATCTCCCACTAAGCAGGCCATGATAGTGACATGTTAATCCTTTTAGGCTATAGTATGTAACCACCTGAAAAAACTAAGTGGCTTTTTTAGATGGTCCTAGTTGGAGCGCATAATATTTTGCCTGTTTAACCATATTAGCTGAAGACTGTCAATAAACGCCATTTCTCACTGTTAACAGCTTGAATATCGTATTTTTATGGTTATTTGACTATATTGGTTAAATATAGTAAAAGAATAGTTAAATAAATTGATATCATCTTAATAATTGTAATAGTTCAAAATGTTTCTCCCGAAATTTTTTCAACTGATTATTAGAGAAATTTTAAGACAATTTATGAATAAAATTTGTTGTAAGGGCCTTAACACATATTTTGTGATTATTTTTATTCGATGAACAGATGTAGTACGATACGTCAAAAATATGTCTAAATCTGATTAAAGTCTAATGCACTTATGTTTAACAGATCCATAATTTCTCGCAAAAGATTTTAACCTTAAAACAAATTTTATTAAATCTAAAAAATAGCTTTGCATAAGTAAAGTAATAAAAGGGAAAAAAATGAAATCAGAAATAAAATTTAAATGGAAAATAAATAAAATAATTATATACTAATGAAAATGCTTCTAAAGAACGTTTAATTTTGATGCGGAAAATAAATTTAAAAGAACTTATAATAAATGAAATATACATACATTTTTATATATTAGAATTATATTTAATTCAAATTAAAATATATGTCTAAATATTTGGCAGTTACTTAAAGAATTATATTCCAACGAATGCAAAATTTCTAGATGAATTTTCTGTTTCTGATGCTTATTATTAAGGATTCTAGAAGATTCTAGATAATTCTTCGAAATGCTGAACTTTGGTGCTATAATTAAAATATTTAATCCTCGCACAAATTTCTTATTATAATTATTATTATAAAAAAATAAAAAAATAAATTCCTTAGCAGTAATTGAAACTGAAATGCTTTCTGGGAATTTTATTTTCCGATGAGCTTTCTCTTAATGGAAATACTGTTATTAGTATAAATTATTAGCTAGAAATATTCTTTTAAAAATTCTTTAATAGTAAAGAAGAACATTAACTTTAAGCATGGCCTGATGAAATAATTTGCTGTTGTCGGTGTTTTATACTTGTCAAAATTATCATCAAAATAATAATAATTTAAAACCCTTTACTTAACAATTAGCCTTATCTACTGGAGACTTACAGAATTGATGAATGAAGATTACAGTATAAGTTTTCTACTGGACCTGTCTGTGTAAACACATGATTTATTTGATATTTCACTTCTGCCTTTATGTGTCGGTTAACGTTCATAGTACCTTTTAATTTAATTACATTGTGGAAATGATATCGTCCATTTTGTTTTTAAATATGAACTTGGTGCAATGTAGTCGTTTCTGGCATTCATGCTATTATACTCTATAATCGACTCAATCTAGTCTTCATCTGAATTAGAATTAACATTTTAAAGATGAAACTAATCCAAAATCGAAGTTCTTAACACCAAATAACGTTACAGCCTTATTCTGTAAAATCGGTGAAATTAATTTTTACTGAATGCTTTGATGAGAACTGTACAAATCACTAACATTATCAGAGTAACCCTATAACGCTGCAGAGAAAACATCAAATACATCACAACAATAAGGCTGATATCTGATACTGTAAGATATCTAAAGACGATAGATTCTCTGAGTTCACGATAAAGAAAATTTGCAGTTTTTTTAGTAGATCTAATGGAAGTTTTTGGTTGCAGTAGACATTTATCTTTGTTAACCTAAGTAAAGGGCACTTTACGGAGTGAGGATGTACATTTGAACAAATACAGAAGTGCATTAAACCGAAAGTGGAGTTATATTAGTAATATTTGAATATTAATACTCTAAATGATATTTGGAATTGAGAGTCATGTAATATTCTTGCATGAGAATTCTTTTGTTTTTATTAATTGAAAAATAATTATTTTAAAGAAAGGTGAACTTCAAAAATTGAAAATCATATTCTTAAGTGTTGTTCTTTATCAAAAAATAAATTTATTAAAAACCGTATAATAAATGCATTAAAAACCCTAAAATAAATGTATTAAAAACCATAAAATAAATGATGAAAAGTGTCAATTACGATGACTTTGTTATATTAAAAAATGATTTTCGCATCAACCCTTATACAGGGTTATTCATAATTCCCTCCGCGGCAGTGTTGCCAGATTGGGCTACAAGTAGCGGATTGGGCTACTTTTAAAAGTCCCCGCTACTCAAAATCGAATTTTGGGCTACCCGCTACTTTTTGGGCTACTCATTATTTTTCAAACGCTACAAATCATAAAAATACGCTACTTTCTTACAGAAATACCTAATAATAATACTTTTTTTTAAAAAAATTTCCTTTCCTATTATAAAATGATTCTGAAAAGTTTGCAGTTACTTTTTCTATCTTGAAAAATAATTTTTTTTTCTTCCTGAAAACGCACCAGCTTTAGTTTTGGATTCTTGATTTGTTACGCTGCGCACAGTCTAGAACATTGTTTCTCAAGGGGGGCCATAACGCCCCCCTGAGGGCGGGCAGGAGTATGCTGAGAGGCTGTGGATCTGTTTTGGGCGGTAGGATGTGTTGGGTATGTTTTGGGCTGTAAGGAGATGATGAGTGTGATGCCACAATTGACATTACATATTTATTTCCCTTCTTTAAAAAATTTCTTTGATTACTTAAGCTTATTTTTATTAATAGAATTATATTTAAAATAAGTCAAAGACTTAAAGCTTTTAAAACGAACATAAAATATTTATTTCTTCTCGTATAGATCAATGTAACAGTTACTTTTTATTTCATTACTAATGCAGAATATTAATAATTCACTGTCGCGCCTAATCAAAAGCAAAAATCTATTTATGACTTTTTATTCTACATTTCTAACCGAAAAAATGTTTCAGTTACATGGTTGTAATAATTTTCATAAATTTGGTGGCGCCTCGTGATCGCCAAGGTATTCTTTTAAACCCAATATTGATATGCTTTTTGGCTATGTTATATTTTAATAAATCGCCAATTTTTGATCTCCTATCCATGCTTCTCCTGTGTCCGTTGTGAACAAAATTACATGTACTTTTAATTTGGCTTTAGTTTAGGCAGGTCGTGAGGGAATTGTCTCCCATGGCCTGTCCTTATTATAATTACCATGTAAAATTTATTTAACTTTGAACATTATCATGGATAATATATTTTTATATTTTGTATCACGAGCTCTGCAAATATATTAAATAAAAGCTTTTTATTAAATATGATCCATTTCAAGTTTCCTCTTCTGTTTTCATCATAATCTTCATTTTGTCCAGTATAACATACAACTTCCAACCTCACCTGATATTCCATCTCAACAAAATTAGCGCACTGACTTTTTATCACTATAATGAGAATGTTTTGTCATTCAAATTTAAAACTTCCA